TGTGTGTGTGTGTGTGTGTGTGTGTGTGTGTGTGTGTGTGTGTGATTTGACCTTTCCCCATATGGTGTGGGACTGAGGAGGGGAACAGGAGGTGAGCCCTACACACGCTATCAGTCTGAGCTGTTAGCCAAGCCAGCAGTCACACACACACACACACACACACACACACACACACACACACACACACACACACACACACACACACACACAAACACACACACACACACACACACACACACACACATCCTTATCGTTTTATCCTTATGGGGTACTATAATAACCTCATCAGTAACTTTAATCCCGAATCCTAACCGTCTCAGAGCGTGTTAAACTTCTACGATCCACACAAAGCTTGAGGGGTTTTTTGGACTCCAGGATTACAGGAAACACGTCAACACACACATCTGCGCCGCAGGCCCAACATGTCATTGTTACCTGATCTTCATGGTGTGTAGGAGAAACAGACGAACGAGAAGGTCACGTGTGTGATGTCAGCTTCGGTGCTTCACCGCTGGTCGTTGGGTGTGATTGGCACTCGCTCCTCTCGCACAGCCTCGGGCTCCCTCTACCCTCTGTCCTCCCTGTCCTCCTCCCACAATCCTATTTCTATTCTATTTATATTTTCTACTCCAGGTTCAAACTATGACAGAGAAATCTTGCAGAAATCACAGACAGTGGGAGTGTTTAGTGCATCAAAGCAGGCTAATGTTCACGGTGCTGCATCTGAGAGTGATGAATAATGTATGGAACACACACAGAACAGGAGGCGAGTGTTGGTCCTCTGAGGCCTTTAAGGAACAGCTATCATGTTTTAAAGATTTTATAGTCTTAAAAAAAATTTTTTTATCTGCAACTTATCTGAACATGTTCACGATTTGCTAGTAATTAAGAATTTGTCTCATAAAACAAAAGAAAGTACTGTGCCTGTATCTAAAACGACTCTTTTGTTTGAATCGTGAGAATAAAGATAGAGAATTAGGAAACGTATCGATACATTTTCCCCGTTTTCTTCTAAATCTCTAAATTTCATTTTCCAACCTCGGATCTACAATCTTTAGCAAACATGTTGGCACGGATTACAGATTACTTACTGTTTGAACATTGCTGTTAATCCTTGAGTGATGTATTATTATCGTGGTAATTTAGAGAAATCAGATGTTTGTTTGTTTTTATGAATCCAGAACTGATCTGTGTGTTTTTATGCCATAAAACCTTTTCAACATCTGGAGAAGCTTTTTATCATAAAGTTAGACTTTTTTCTTCTTTAACTTTAATCTCACAGCTAATTTAGCACCTCCGTTGTTACGTTCCAGGTCGGGTACATAGTAAATGTGCGTGTTTGACCAGCTATTGTGTAACAGCCTTGTTGTGATGACAGGAACAGACATCCCAACAAACCAAAGCAGCACGACTCCTCCTGCTATCGGCTTTCTAAAGGACATTGTTACACATGTTCTTATCAGTTCTCACATTTCCTTATAGAGCCCCGCTCCCCTCTAAGAAATATTGTTGATTTACATTCATATGCAAATGAGATATGAAGAAAGGGAGAGAAGGAAGGAAAATAAATTCAGCTTATCTTCATTCAACAGATGTGGAGACGGAACGTGTTGGTTTGTCTCGTCAATGAAGCCGAGAGAAGCAAAGCTGCAGAACTGGCCTGTCTGAATGAACAGAGGCGACCAGCTGTAGATAAAGAACACAAAACCCCAAAACATTTGTATAATAGTTGTATTTTGCTTTAGAGGCAGCGGCAGAAAGAGACGAAGGATCAGGGCGGGAACCTTCAGCTGCCAAGGGCCCTCGGCCAAACGGGAAGTTGACTTTCCAAGAGGCTGAAGGCAGAAACGAGCTGTAGGACAGAAGCAGGGAGTGTTGAGGTGATGCTGATTAGACAAGTTGTTACGTCCCCGACAGGAGATGCTAAGATGCGAAGGAGGGGGTAACATAAGAAATACGACAGTGGAGTTAAAATGGTTTTAATTGTTGTAAAAGGTGGGCGACGGTGGCACAGGAGTTAAGTGCTCGACCCGTAATCGGAAGGTTGCAGGTTCGAGCCCCACTCAGTCTGTCGCTGTTGTTGTGTCCTTGGGCAAGACATTTAACCCACGTTGCCTGCTGGTGGTGGTCGGCAGCCTCGCCTCTGTCAGTGCGCTCCAGGGCAGCTGTGGCTACATTGTAGCTCATCCCCACCAGTGTGTGAATGTGTGTGTGAATGGATGAATGACTGATTGTGTTGTAAAGCGCCTTGGGGGTTCCAGGACTCTACAGAAGGCGCTATATCAAATACAGGTCATTTACCATTTTACCATTTAAAAACAAGAGCAAACAGATGGCAAGCATTATAAAGATAATGCAACACACACAAAAAAACTCTCTAAAAGGTTAACATTACACCAATGACCAACTATAAAAACACCTGGTTAAAACTTATATTAAAAGTTCTACCAAGCAGGTGTTTGTGAAATCCACACGTTGATATGTTTGTTTAGTTATTTGGCAGACGCTTTTATCCAAAGCGACTTACAATTTATAGCCTATAGGGCATGTTGTGATCTGTGGGGGAAACCGGAGTACCCGGAGCAAACCCACGCATGCATGGGGGAGAACACGCAACTCCATGCAGAAAGGCCGCAGCCGAGCCGAGTTTCGAACCTGCAACTTTCGTGCTGCGAGGCAGCAGTGCTAACCACTGCGCCACCAGGCAGTGGTTGGCACTGCTGCAGTGCACTGATAAAAGTCTAAAACAATCTACTGACGTAAAACACCTGGTAAAAACTTATTGTGAAAGAAGGTGTTTAAAACCGGAGTCAATAAAATTGCAGCAAACCAAGTTAACCTTTTTAATCAACAAACAACGTCAGAAGATCCCAACACGAGGCCTGGAGGACAGCAGAACCCCTACGCTGCTGCCTCCTAGGCCTAGTCCACACGTAGCCGGGGTTTTTTGAAAACGAATATCCGCCCCTCCAAAAACTTGCATCCACACCACCGCGTTTTAAAAACAAACTCTGTCCACACGTACCCGGATAAATACGTTGTTAAGGACATGCCAGACCTGCAGGCGGCAGTACTTCCCCCGTTCTTAACCTCGTCCTTCGTCTGTGGTCTTCCGCAAGGAGCAGTAATTCCGCTTGCAAAAACAAACAAGCAAAAAGCGCTTGGACAATTGATGAAGCGAGCGCAGCTCTGAGGGCATCCATGCTGTCGGCTAGTGTAAACACAGGTCACACACGTGATGTCAGCATTTTTTGTCGTGGAAAGTGACGTTGCGGACCTTAAAACTCCGGTTTTGTCTGTCCACACGCAGACACCCAAAACAGAGAAAACGCAGATCTTCACTTTGGCCGGAGTTTTTAAAAAGATCCGTTTTCGTGTGAAAAAAAAACTGTTTTCGTGTGGATGACATTTTGGCAGATCCCTGGCTACGTGTGGACAGGGCCCTAGACTGCTGAAGACACAGCCTTTTAATCCAGGTGTGGGTCATCAGAAGGATTCAGCTCAGCTGTGCTCCTCAGCAGCCTGGAAGAGAGGAGGAGGAGGGGCGGTGTCAGGCTGATCACCAGGGCTGGGTGATCCTGGCTCCTGCGTCTCACTGGCCAGGCTGCTAGCCGTAACCAAGTTTAGACCTAAAAACTGTTTATGGTCAAACAGCAGGGCTAATGTGCTGGACAGCTAATTATTAGAATAAAATAATTATATCACACTATCCGTCATCTGATGTTACGTTTAATGAGAAGTCACTATTATGTCACTAATTCAAATAGTACCAGTCAGTGTTTGTGGGCATGTCATAACCGTTAGACAATGTGTGTGATGGGAATAAGTGTGTTTAGAATAAGAACAGCTGGGTGAACCCATACTTGGCCCTGTTTAGGTGGCTGATTTACTGAAACACCCCCCCACACAGTGCTGGGAGGCTGGTGTGTGTCGCTTCAGCTTGTTGCTGTGCTTCAGTTATAGTCTCTAAAATTCTCATTTCTACCAAGACCTTGTGGATGTCGTCAGTGTTATTGGTAGTTCAGCTGGATAGCAGCAGGAATCAAAGTCATCCTAGAGAAGCTTGCATAAGTTGGTTAGTGAATGCTTTCTTGGCTCAGATCTCTTGAGGTGATGGCACTGGTGCCCTTGACCAAAAGAGCTGCAGACCAACAACTGTGGCGATGCTAAGCTGCTGCCTACATCTGCTGCTGCAAAAGTGCACATGGTTCTCTGCAAAGATGGATAAACGTAATGATTCTATCCTCTTTCTTACTATCTCTCTTTCTTCCTTTGACTGTTTCTTTTTTTTCTTTACCTACCCTTCTCTCACTGCACTTCCTCCATCTCTCAATATAACTTCCATGGCTGGTTGATTTGGCTGAGCAGAGGGAAACAGGCAAGGCCTCCACAGTTCAGGGCTCCGGAGAGCTCGGCCAGGCAGCGGCAATCAATCACCGAATAAATCCGTCCTCTCACAGGACTGCTGTGAGCCAGGTGACACGGTCTGCAGCTGCAGAGAAATAAAACGCCCACAGCCACCGTCTGACTTTAAATAGAGCTGGAAGCCAGCGAGGATACAGATGTGCTGAAGGAGTATGAAGCTAGCTTCAGTCAGACGTGATAAACGCGTCTTCAGTCAGAGATCACGCAGGGGACAGCTGCTCAGTCGAGGGCCACCAAAATGGTTAACGGAGGGCAGAGATGTTTGTGCACTTCTGTGTGTGTGCTTATGCACTACTGCACAAGTTTTAAGGAGATGATCAGAAAGACTTTACTGGATGCATCTATGATGTTTGAAGATGGCTGCCACAGCTCAGCAAATGCAGAGCTGGCTACCACTTCGCCTCCTTCCCCTCCACCATCTCCCAGGGGTGTAACAGTCAGCGTTCCAGGCCTTTTGCCAAACCATAATGTTCTAGTTTCTGAGAATGAACACCATTACATTCACTGAATTAACCCAGTCCATCTAAAAGCAGAAGTCAGTGCTTTTTGACTTACACTACTCTTTTTTCCTGCAGACATGTCTAGAGCTGGAGCGATACCTGCAGACGGAGCCCAAGCGCCTCTCAGAGCTCTTCGACGAGGAGCTGGACTGTCTCCTAACACCAGCCTTTATGCAGGGTGGTGACAGTGATGAAGACCTGATGGATCCCCTCCTCCCCAGCCTTCCCGACCAGCCCAGCCCACCTCCACTACTCATCGCCCACCCAAAGGTCCAGGCTAAAATCCTCCAGGTCCCACATCTGAGCAAGAGTCAAGCTGGGACTGAAACGACAAAGGAGCAGGGCCTTGGAGGAGTCAGTGCCGCACAGCTCAGTGCAGCTGTCACATCCCTCACGCCTCCGTCGTCTCCAGAGCTCGGCCGGCATCTCGTCAAGCCCACACAGACACTCACCGCAACAGCAGACGGCACATTGACGTTTAAACTGGTGGCAAAGAAGGTTGGATTAGGGGCAGCTAAGGTCGTGGCAGCACGAGCGTTACCTTCCCCGCTGGGCCGGGGAGGAGCCCTGAGCGACAGCGAACAGGGAGGGGGTGGAGGTCTGGGAGGAGACATACCTGAGAATAAAAAGAGAGTCCATCGATGCCAGTTTAATGGCTGCAGGAAGGTTTACACCAAGAGCTCCCATCTGAAGGCGCATCAGAGGACACACACAGGTAACATCCTTCATGCTTTTGGTTAGAACAGCTTAGTCTTACAGTTTTCTCAATTCTTATATCAATATTTCACGTTTCACATGAGTGATTCTGAAGTTGTGATGCTGCATTTCAGGCAGAAGTTAATGATTTTTACTTTAGAGGAGTTTTATTTGCTTTAAACACACCTGCGGCTATGTTGTCCATAAAATGTGCAGCTTGGATCATAAAGCCCAGTCCTGATGAAGCACGATGCTAACTTCTGCTGCCTGCCTTTGGACATTCGAGCTAATTGCAACGTTGCTCAAGTCGTTGATTTTACGGACTTTGCAGCAGGATAAAACACACGGTGTGCAAGAAGTTTATGGCCGCATGTTGTGTCCATGAAGGCAAAAACCTTAAAAGGAGAAATGAAGCAAAGTGCATTCCTGACTGAGCGTCAGCAAAAGGTGCTCCACCGTGTGAGCTGCTGCGTGAGTCTGTAAGGAAGGCTCTGGATGTTTAGGAGTAGATTTAGATAATGCTGCTCTGATGATCCCCCGGGAGTATTTAGCTCTTATCAATAGGTGCTAAGGGTCAAAAGACTCTGCAGTGAAAATTACCACGTGATTGATGGAGTGCTAGTAAACGGCTTTACCAATCCAGCCAAGTGGGTCTGATGAGCAGCTTAGCTGCTTTCTGCTGCTGCCCTCTCAGTGACCCTGAGATGGAGCACTGACCAGGCTAATGTGTGCACGGCCAGGAAGGCACAAGCCTTCAGGAAGTGGAAAAAAGGGGTTTGGGATGAGTCAGGAGCAAAGGTGGCCCGAGTCATCCCTGGTGTTGCCTCTTAGGAGCTGTTTTAGACACAGATCTGTTGAAGATGTTGAAGATGTTCTTGGTTCCAAGACCGTTGCTGTTGCCCCTTATAGGCTAACTGATGTCAGCCCGTTCTTACCCAATCTGTGGTTGGAGTTTCTGTTTCTGGGTTGAGGAGTGACCACAGGTTCTCTGGAATTTTCCTGGACATGTAACGGAAAGCCAGTCTAACCAGGTAGTCGAGCCAAACTGGGAGGTAGAAAAGAGCCTTAAATGACCATATGTTAACAGTTGCCTTGTTACATGGCGCTACCTTATTGCTGGAAAATTAATTGTTCATCACCAAACTGCTGATGGATGGTTGGGAGGAGCTCCTCTCCGAGGAGGTTTTGGTTACTAAACTGTGACTGAGGGCGTGGGTTTGCATCCTGGCCTGAGGTATCTCTGTGTGGAGTTTGCATGTTCTCCCCGTGCACGCGAGGGTTCTGTCCGGGTACTCCAGCTTCTTCCCACAGTTCCAAAATATGACCGTAAGATCGATTGGTTTCTCTAAATTGTCCTTAAGTGTCAGTGTGTGTTAGCGTGTTTGTCCTGTGTGACTGTCAACCTGTCAGGGGTGCACCCCGCCTGTTTGCCCGAAGACTGCTGGAGATAGCCCCCCCACCCCACCCCCCACCCCCACCCAGATGTGGTTTCTTTGCTGCCCTTATTGACAACAGGCTATCCTCCGAACTCTCCTCTCCTTGTACTCCATCTGATTACTCCTCTCACTGTTCTGTAGTTCGTTCAGATTTCCATCATAAAAACTGAGGCAGCTAATTCTATATTAACATTTGTGTCATTGTTAAAACTTTGGGCCGCGCCTGTACTTAAGTTGTTTTATGAAAACAATTAAACTGGAAGCAGACAGCTCTGCTGCTCTGCAGCGATATCTTAGGACAGCGTTTGAAGGTAGCAAAATCTAAAGAACAGTTCTGAAAGTAGAGTTTGTGTTTGGATCGCTTGTACCTTCAGCTGTTTGGGGTTTCGGTCAGCACCTGCAGCAGCACGCGTCTTTAAATGTGACAGGAAACAGTAATTTGTTCCTTCTAACTTATCTGGTTTAAAGTCTGAATAGCAAGCGTGTTTTGCCTGAATCTGTCACTTATCTGCAGCATGAGGCTTGGGCACACTTGCAGCGCCTGAAGCTAGCATTTTTCAACTTTAGCTTTAACCACACCATCAATTCACAGCATCTAATGCGTTTCATGTCCTCCAGTTGTCATCATCCAGTGTTAGCAGTCTCACCAAGTTCACAGTACATAGCCCATAGACATGTACTCTATTAAAACTGGCAACCTTGGCATCATTAATCCAGCATGTTACAGGCTTACGTGATCCCTGCTACTATTGCACAACCCTCAGTGTAGCTTTACACTCCAGGGTTTTACCTGGAGTGGCTGCGAGAGCCAACCACAGCAGCTGAATTATCTCTAAGCCAGAGAAGAAGCCAGTCATCTGGAACCCCAACTGCAGCCTCCAATATCTTTAATCTTCGGATGATTCAACAGTCGAGTCATGCTAAGAAACGATTAGTTGTTTTTTTTTAATAGTAAAAATCAAATGCTGAGAAAACCCTGCAGCTTGCTCACTGGGAGTGTGTGTGGCACAAATGTGTGGGCGTTTTATTCCCTCCCGATGTGTTCATTACAAGCACAGTGCTGTGGTTTAATTAGCTTAATCCTCTTTTTGGGTTATTATGACCATAAATCATTGAACATACATGTAGACGGGGATTAACGCTGCAGAGCCTACAGGGAGGAGCAGCTGCAGAAAGCCCGTACAGTCTCAGCGTGCTTACTGTAACTCAGTGCACACCAGAGACCATTAGAGGCATCATTATATCCATGTCTGTCAGCATCTGCACCGCATGTGCTGCTGATGCACATCGTGTTGGTGATTACATCCCCATGTTTGTGTTGCAACTTCTTTAAGATGCTGATTAGATTTAAGGATTTTCTCACTTGAAGAGCTTCAATTAAGGACGAGTCGTAACATTAATTCAACATTAATGGATGTAGAAATTAATTCAGTAAATCTCAGTAAGTCGGAGCTGTTTTGAGTCTGAGCCAGAGTATTTTTTTAAAAGCTCTTGAGGATGCTCTAAAAGCAGCGGCTTGCTATTACTCATATCTTGTTATTTATGTTGCCGTCCAAAATAATAAACCTAACTACTTACTTGGCACCAAAGAGAGCAGAATAAATGAGCCGTTGTAGGAGTGTGTGTCGGTAGTCGAAGTTATGAGCTCAGTGTGCTGGCAGCTTCTCCTCTGCAGAGAGAAGCACGAGCTTCACTCAGTTTAGGGGATAGAAAACTGTTTCCAGTAATCAGGTGGTTTAAATCTTCTCATATTGGACATGACTGCAGTTTAGAGTTCTCAATTATTTGTTTTTTATTTGTTTTCTTCCTAGAGGGTAAAATGTTTTTTTGTCCATCCATCCATTTTCTGAACCCGCTTTGTCCACGCGGGGTCACGGGGGTGGGGGTGGGGGTGGGGGTGGGGGGGGGGGGTACACCCTGGACAGAGAGCCAGTCCATTGCAGGGCAACACAGAGACACACAGGACGAACAATCACACACACACACACACACACACACACACACACACACACACACACACACACACACACACACACACACACACACACACACTCACACACACACTCACACCTAAGGACAATCTGGACAGATCAATCAACCTAACAGTCATGTTTTTGGACGGTGGGAGGAAGCCAGAGTACCCGGAGAGAACCTCGCATACACAGGGAGAACATGCAAACTCCATGCAGAAAGATCCCAGGCCGGGAAGCAAACCCAGGACCTTCTCGCTGCAAGGCAACAGCTCTATGCGCAGCCCTATGTTTTTTATTTTTATTTTATTTATTTGTTTATTTATTTCAGAATAAATGTTTTGTGTGTTTTCTGGCATCACTGAAAATAAATGCCCATGTCCTTCTATACAAATATGGCATCAAAGTTGTTTCTGTTGCCTTTCATTACAGAAGCGGTTTCCTGGCACATCTGCGGAAACTTAATTCAATGAAAGGCCTAGCATTTATTCTTGTGTGCCTGCAGAGTTTGTAACTAACATCATTTTAAAGGCATGCATTGCAACTCTTTCATATTTTTTTAATTATTTACTTGAGCCAGAACGTGCTAAAATGAGCCTTTACAGCACAGGTTTTCAATCCACCACGTTTTAGTGGTTTCTCTGCTCTCCAACACACTTGATTCAGTGGTTGAATCACCTGTGCAGCAGCTCATTAGGCTCTGTAGACACCTGTTAATTACCTGCTGTTGGAAATCAGGTGTGTTGAACCAAAGTTGAAACTAAAACGTGCTGGATACCGGCCCTCCTGGCCCGGAATTGAATACCCCTGCTTTACAGGATTAACGAAATGTCACTCAGACCCCACCACCTTCTGTGGCCAGAATACCGCAATTGCAACTTCAGAGTTGCTGTTTCAGTCCCTGCTGGTGGAGGGAGCTGTGGAGTGGAGTGGCGCTGACACGGTGAAGCTGCAGTCTGCTTCCAGCAGGTCTCCTGCATGTTTTAGATCGTGAACACAGCTGATTTGTTTGATTTAGTGACGAACCACTCTACTAGAAACTAATGAAGGCTGAGGAGACATTTCAGCAGTTAGATTAAGGTCTTACACAGACGAACACACAGCGAGGAGAAAAGTTTGACTTTTGCTTTTTTTTTACTTAATAACGGACACTCGGGGGTGCTAAAAGCAAGTAAAACTGCCAAGTGTTCCTTTAAGGATCTTGCAGCATGTACACCCTTGACTGTGTGTTGGGGATGACTCTCAGTTACAACAACAGCCAAATGTAGCTCAGTATCTGTAAAACGGACTGAATTAAAGACGTGATTGTGTTTTCTCAGGCCACCTTTAATAGTGTAGACTTATCTGCAGTGTCAGTTGAATACTTCACAAACATTGCATGGAAAGGTGAACAGTGGTTCATGAGACTTTACCGACATCTTTCTGACTTATAGTCTGTGTTAAGACCTGATTTTGACACCGACGCTGTAGCAGGAGCCCGTTTCTACATTTTTGTGGGGTTGTTTTGCAGTTGGAGCAGGATTACTGCAGATGTTTGTCCTGGTAAAATAATTGCAGTCATTTTGGAGTAAGTGCCATCAATTTGTGACAGTAGACGTGGGAATAAATGCACA